TAACGACGTCAATATTTCGTTTTGTCGAGGCGATTCCGTATAAAGTATATCACGCGCATTCTTCGATAAAATACGTTCTTTTAGCGGTTGTAATTGATTTTTTTTTTTTCTTAATTTTAATCGCGTGTCTAAAGACATAAGATACAGGTATGTACTTCCTAAAAAAAATTACAGACGTGTTTTAACCGCGGAAATATTTCGAAATCGCATTTTGTGTTGTATACATGCGCAAAACATACGTCTCGTATAAATAATTTAACGCGATATTATTATACAGTTATATTACAGTGTGTTTTACTCGAAACGGTATCGCGAGACATTTCAACCGAACTGCGGATTAAAATCGAAATGGGTTTATTTTTTTTTATTTCAAAACGTTAACCCTAGCGAGGCAACCAATTCGAGCCTGACAGTTTTGCCGTGACCGTTTTAGACGTGGGTCCGCTTGGACGCGAAAGAACAAAAAACCGACTTTTACGAATTTTTATAAAATATAATGTCGAACCGTTCGATTGTATTAAAAAAAAAAAAAAAAGTTGCCCTAGGATAATGGAAACGGGTGTAGCCACTGTTATGGGTAATTTAATGTATACATGTAAGCAACGCGATGAACCATTGCTAACGAAAAACTCTGTGCGGATTTCAGTTGATAGTGATGCTTTGTCCACAATATATACGTCATAGCTCATATTATAGTAAAATAATTAAATATACTTTATATATTTACTATAATATGTAATATTTGTTTAATGTTGTACCGATTTTTCCGTTTTCCCTACGTTTTTCGGATTTTCATATTTTTTAAGAAAACTCCTAAGAAAATCGAAAAATAACTTTTTAAGGCAACTCCCCTCCCCCAGTGAAATGACCTTCCAGAAAAGGTGCTACAATTAAAAAAGATTTCTGGTAGAAAAATTGCGCACAGATAAAAAAAAAAAAAAAATCTCTTTGTAAAACCTTAAACTATTCTTTGCTCCGCTCAGAATCTAAAATTTGACTCCTATACACTCGTTATACACCGCTAAAACAAGCCGAAAATCTTGATGAAAAAAATGTATATTTTGTAAAAAAAAAAAAAGAAAAAGTATTTTAATATCTTATAATAATAATAATTTATTCTAGTTACCATGAGTAATATACAAACACAACGGAAAAATATAGAGAAATTGTTCTTTACTGAGGTCTGTTCTCGTATTATAGAACAATGAATACTTATCTTAATGATAAAACGGTACATAATATGAAATTTTGACAAGTATTTTCAAAATATATTACTTAAATTATTTTAATTATATGATGTTTATAATTTAGAGAGAAATGCCGTGTAGTAAATACGAAATCGTATCATTATCATTTGCTTATTTGGACGGTTTTCAACGGTCTCTTAACGCGTTTAAATCAGTATCAATTTATATTTTTATTTTTTTCTAGAAGACTTCTTCACGCTATAAACTAGTCGTAAAATGTGACAGATTTTTATATTTATTTTTATTCTTGCATAAAATTACATATTACAATAGACAATAACATGCGTTTTACATGTTTTTTTTTATTTATGAAATATTGCATTTTGTGTTTACAATGACGTTTGTTTATTTACTTTTATTTTTCTGCGGAGAAATTTTCTACCAGCAATTTCGCTTCAATTTTCAAGTATAGCACTTTTTCTGAATTATTTCACCTTAACACAACATATGCATAACTGTTTGCAAAGCAACACTATTAGCCGAACTCCGCTCAGAATCGTTTATCGCTAGCAGTGGTTAATCATTGCGCTCACATATACATTAAATTTCCAACCTACCATACCTTCCCGATTTCTCACCCACATGCGTAGTATGTCCGGGGTTTTATTTTTAAACATCAGACGCCTGTATCTCGGCGCTGCGATTTCCGAGATGGAAATAACGATCGCGTTGGTTGTTTACGGAAAAAATACTATTCGATTGTGCGGACGTTAAAAACAGACGGTTCCGTTTAAGATCATATAAGTATAGGTGTTATTGCGCTTACGTTTGAGAAAAAAATTTCGTAAATTGGGAACTGGAAACGACGAGCGTTTCGCGGGAGTCCCTCCCTCCCTCCATCCCCCCCCATTCGGATTTTCATGGAAATTGAAAAACGAAAAAAAAAAAAAAAAACCCTCGTTTCAATCCGAACACATCCGGCGCTGAAATAGGGCATTTCGCGTTAACGTTTTGAGCGCGAAACACGCGATAACATATACGCTGTGTTATAATAACATGTTCTATAATTGCATTTACCTTTAAACCGTATATGCGCGTTCACGTACCCGAGGCAAAACGTTCATTATAATATCGTACCGACGCGTGCATAATGCACCCGTGCGCCGTGTGTTCACGCGTGCCTCTCGTTGTCGAAAACTCTTCCGAAAACCATTACGATTTAATAATTTTACCGCGGTGCCGTACAGCGTAATGCCGTGCGTACCGCACTGCCTACGCGATATCGGTATTACGCTGTGCGTACGTACGTACGGTATGAAAACATATCATTATACCCGCGGGGTTGTTTGCGTACGGCGGCGCGACCGCATTCGCGCGTTATTTCAATACGTTTTTTTCGTACGATTTCGCGAACCCGACGAGCAATCCGACAGACGTCTCACGTTTTACACCGCCGTCGTATTGCTGTTAACAATATCGACCGGTTAAAGACGCGGGGTAGACGGCGGGTTTTTCAATAACAACGACACGACGCGATTCGTGTACGTTGTAATTATTTAACGAGCCACCGGACAATGCCGGGCAGTGACTAAATAGTCACAAAGTCACGAAAACCGGTAACTGTTTTGTAACTCGCGAATCGCTGTTTGCTCGTGTGTAAGTGTAATCTAACGAGTTACCGTTCATCGTTTCGTCACCGATATCTTGCCACTCTCGGACAAAAATCGAAACGCAATGCGTTAGCATTTCGATAACGTTCTGTTACTGTGTGGAAAATCCGTTTCCAGCATCAATTCACGATGGCTATCGTGTTTATTTAAAAACCAATAGCCAATTAAAACTAGTTTAAATAGTAACTTGTAATTTGTAAATTTTTCACGAGCGATTAGTAACTTAATAACGAGTTCCTTTTTTTATTTAGGAACTTGTCACTTAACTAAGTTACTTAATTAAGGGAAAAAACTGTAGCTTACTCGGTCGCAATAGAGTTGAGTAATTGTGCAGCTTTGGCTATGGGTTTTATGAGCGGATTTAATTTGTAAGTCTAATGGTACTGCAATGTAATAATTCACGTCGATATTTCATTATCAAACAAAAATATATTTTTAATTCATTTTTCGTATTTTATCGAGGACGGAGATTTATCGAATTTGGAAATCGTGTCGTTTCGCACGACACGTAACCCGGGCTGGAAAAAAAAAAAAGGGACAATATTCGATTTACGTATTTTTGTGAAAAATGTATAGTATCGACCCTTCCTAAAAATTATCATTAAAATCAAACAACTATACTACAGGTATACTATAGATCGGAAATTATGATTAATTTACAAGTCTAACCTACTTCGCAGTTCATATTGTTATAAAAGCGGTTCGAATATAGATTTCGCTTTACACGAGAAAACGTATACGTTTTGCAGGTGATTTTTAGGTCGATTTATCAACTATGTCCGTTGGTACGGGTACCAACGCGTTATTAATTTGTCGATTTTCCCGGCTAAAAAATAGAGACATTTTTTAAAAAAAAAACCGATACTCCTCACGTAAATTTTACAGATACTAAAAACGGTCGAGAGGAGCAGACGTATCTTCCTAATCGTTGCCCGTATAAGTACGCCACCGATATTTATTATTAAGGGGGTTGCGGAACACGTGTATTTTAAATATTGTAAATATCGCGTTTTGGACGAAAAAACGGCGACTGGAAATTTTAGGCACACACGCATTTCTGCAATATCCGGTGCTAATTTTCAAAGTGCACGTGCGTATATATATACATGAATTATATTCACTGACAAAATGTGCGGAGACGATTTTAAACACTTCCGAAATTTAGATAATAATAGTAGTATAAAAAAGGGGATTCTAAGCCAGGAGCAGCAGCCAGGAGCCAGGAGCTCTGACCTAACCTAACCTAACCTCCTGCTCTTGCTCCTGGCTTAGAATCCCCTTTTTTATACTACTAATAACGTTTTTTGAAATCTCCGTGTAATTTGATTCATTGATTAGTATTTAACATACGAGTGGTTTTCCCGAATTGTCACCACTTTTGAAAAGTTTAAAAAAATGATTTTTAACACTTTTCAATTGCCGCCTTAAACATAATATTTGTCCACTCGACTACCACGGCAGGATACCCGTTTAACGGGCGGGAATAGGGGTGCGGCCGTTTTCACTGACGGAAATGACTTTGCAAGAACAGGGATCACGCATTGGTTAACGCGGTATTTTCCGACAAATTTGTCCGACGTCAAAAAGTCGAAAACTGACGTCTTTTTTTAAGACACATTCGTCAGAGTTCGTGATGAAAACATTGAACAACCGAGTTCGGCGCGCGATATCGATTCGTTTGTCACTTGTAAAAATACAAACGGACGGCCGGGCGCGCGGCGAAATCGATTTTTGTTTATTTCGTCGGGGCGAAAAAAACCGAACGGTCGTATTTTTATCGGATAGGTTCACGCCGGTCGTATAGGTACGCGCTCGGCGATATTTATTATTATTATTATTATTATTATTATTGTTCCGTTGTGCGTACGCAACTTACTGTACGGTCGTTCGTTTGTTGGTCTTTTTTTCTTTTTCTTTTTTTTTTTTTTTTCCTGTCCGTTTCTTTTTTTCTCTGTCCGTCCGCACGAGATTACACCGCGATTACATCATCGCAACAATAATACTGTACAGGCGCCCATAGCCGGCGCATAAAACATATTATAATAACGCCGACATTCCCCTATCTACCGATATTCGCGCGTTCTCTAGCACAACACGTGACGAAGTTTCAATATCGGCTTCTTTTTTTTGTCGCTCTCTCTCTCTCTCTCTCACTTTATCTTTCTCCCTTCGAAACACCGGCCACTATAACGTTGTATACACCGCAAGGTACATAGGTCTTTCGGTCGGTTTTTTTTTTTTATCGGGATTTCGTTTTTTTTTTTTTCTTTCATATGTAACGTTACGATACATTATGCTATTATAACATTACCGGCCGACGACGACGACGACGGCGGCGGCGCGAGTATTATAATATTATAATGCACGCAATATTATACAAGACGCGTATTATACGGTATACTCGGTATTTTGCTTATCAATCGACGTTCGGTCGCGCGTTCAAGACGTCTATTGAACGTTATAGTATCATTAAACATTATTATTATTATCATCGGGTATTTTAATATTATACGCGGGACGGCCGCCGAACGCGCCCAGACAGCCGCCATATACCGGACGATCGATTTAGCGCGCGATTTAACGGTGGCCGAAAAGAAAGCGAGCGTTTCGCGTTAAATCAATCGCCCGGTATACCTGCGTCGCCGCCGATGTTATTAGGAAAATCGCGCGCCGTGCGGTTCCGTCGCGCGAATGTTATTCGCGACGGTCGTAGATAAAAAACACACACACTCACGCACACACACACACACACACACACTCACTCACGCACACTTTCATTATCGACGACCCGGTGATAAACGACGGGGGGAAAAATCGACAAACCAATTGACGCCCGCCCCCGTACCGTCTTGAACATTTCACAGATACCGATCGCGACGAGCAATGATATTGTGTTCGCGTTTCGGTTTCACTACATGCGACGTTTGTGTTTTAGCAACTGAACGGAGCCGATTTGACGCGGACAACTTTTCTGCCGTCAATTTTGCTCCGATTGACAACGATGGCACTTTTACTGAAAGGAAATCTGACTGCGGTGGTACTTTAGGGAGGTCGTTTTTTTTTTTTTCATTTTTCCCGATAAATGGTAATGGGAAACGGGAAAGTAGGCGCAATATTAAACAAATATCGTTAAAGAACATACATGTTACGGTTAGTGTCGTTCTGATCATACACTCGCCTATTTTGTGCAGTTCGTTGTCATATTGGTGTGTATTGGCCTAGATATTACTTAATTTAAGAGTAAGTATGTTGTTTGTGTTTGCACGTTGGTTTTTTTTTTCGATATATTAATTTTTAACCTATATTCGACGATTTTTGTTAGTTGTAATATTTCACATGTCTGTAACTCACTTAAAAACTAAAACATCGAGAAAAAACCTACGTACAAAAACATACAATGTTCGTACCTTTAAGGTCGAAAATTGGTTCATACATTCTGGTATTAAAACTAACAGCACAAAATCGGTTTTTATGTAGAAAAAGTATAAATATAACGATATTAACCGTAACATATATTATGTAATTGTTTTACCATAATTTTACCATAATATTATATATTGTTCAACACTCACAACCGAAATCCGCTCAGAATCGTTTATTCGTTAGTAGTGGTTATAATCGTCGCGTACAGATGTACATTAAATTTTTCCTTTATTACCTCTTGTATCACTGATAGTGGTAACAAAAAAAAAAAGTTGAACGCAGTGTAGTAACGGTTTTTTTTCTTTTAAGCATTTCAACTTTAAATTTTGACGAAAATCACGGCGCGGTCCATGACGATGTCGCATTATAATTCGCATTTGTTCGATTTCGTATTTTATAATCGAACATCCCTGGGGGCGGGGATATTTACCGTAGAACTCAGTCTTCGGTCGGTTTCAAGCGTTTGCGCGTTTAAACGTTAAATCCGGTTTTCGGACGTTCGGCCGAATCGTTTTGAAACGCTTTTGTTTCGCTCGGTTAATGGAAAACGATCGCTGCCCCGACGCTCGATCAATCACAAAGGTTTGATACGAAAATGACGTAGATGTCGGTTTGCCCGGACGTCGTTTTCGCGCTTGTAAACGTCCTATATAGGTTATTATCGACGGGTTTTTTTTTTTTTTTTCTACGTTCGATACGTTACAGACCAGGCGCTTACAAACGCGCGTTCCGAAATCCACGGTGTGTGTACGTATACCTAACCTACACGCGCGTTTGACACATAAAACGAACCGCCCGGGAAAACTATAACCTCTATATCGTTTTCGGATCGAATACCTTTGTGACGGGCGGCTACCCGTTTTTCCGTTTTTAGCCGAACCCGCGTTCGCTTATTATTAGAAAGAACAAAAAAAATCCCCGTCGAAATAAATATGGCGGTTCGTTTGTTTTTTAAATACCGCGCGCGCGTCGTCCGAATCGCCGTACGTATCCGTCGCCGATGTCATTTCCCGTTTTCCGTCATCTACGATTTTATTGCAATCGTTTCGCGGGAGTGTGGGCGTGAACAAATTTACCGAATCGTGAAAAACGAGCTATTTACACGGACAAAACAAAGCAGAACGAAAATATCTGTTTTTCGCGGCGTAGGATATGTGTCGTCGATTTTTCCAATATCGGACGTTTTATTTCAGTGTATGTTTTTGAATAAGTCGTACGTGTTTACCTTTGGAATGCGCCGTGTATAAGAAAGTCAAATCTAAATTGACTTGACTCGAGTTACTCGTATAGTGCGTTTCCCGAATCTATTGGCAATCGATTCAAGCCGCTGAAAAACAATTGTTTCAATAAATTTGCATAATAAATTAAAACGCTTTTTAACAGCCGGATTTTGAACATTAAAATACCGCAATGTTACGTTAAACAATACAAAACAATACGTAGAACCGTGCTGTACCTGCAAAATGACAGAATACCGTGACAAAATTGTTAAATGTCGATTTCGCGTTTTCGGCCAAAGTTGTTATAATAATTGCTCTATACTGAATAGTTCTAAAAACATTGACAGTATCGACACCTGTTCGGGCGCACCCGTGTAATATTCGACGACGGGAAATAGAACGGATTCGATTATACGATTCAAACGCGTTTTATAAAAACCTATTTCGAATCTCCGATTTCGAGCGACGATTACCGGCGGGGATTAAACGAGTATATTATTCGCGGTTATCGCGCTGTCGCACGCTCGTCTCTCTCGTTAGAATTTCGCGCTCGAACGCCAATCGGTTTTCGACGTTTGACGTTATCACACAATATAATATTAGGTATGTCAATTTGCCCGTGATGCTCGCAGTACAATAATAGCCGTGTGGGATTTCTTATTGGCGTCGCGGAAAAGAGCAGGCACGAGTCAGTGTTCTCTCGAGTGTTCGGGGGCGAGCGACCGAAAGTCCGAGAGATCCCTTAAGCCCCGTCGACCGTTCAAGACCGGCATTTTTGATCCGGACTACCACGCAATTACGCGACGTTTTACGCCTTTATTGGCTCTGACGGAGACGACGGCCGTAAAAACGTCGTAACAAACACGCCCTTTACAACGTTTTACGTGCGTCACGTTGACGCAAGGGCGAATAGGGTGGTTTTACGGTGCCGGGGATAAAATCTAAGGGCCCGTTCGGGGAAAGGGCCCTTGAAAAATAACGATCAAAATTACGCGTCTGTATACATTTGTGCCTGCACAAATGCGAGTGCGTACACCGAGTGCTCGTACTACGTACAGGTATGCACTACGCAATTACGTAACGTAAATTATAAAAAAGTACGTAATATAAACAGTACAATAGCGCGGTACGTTTTCGATGGTGAATCATGGGTTTTGTTTTTTTTCACTTCGTATTACCGCACCGTCGATAGTGCGTAATTTTATTTAGCGCATTTTTTTTTGTCGACGCTCGTATAATAAGAGTCTGTGTACTAAATGTTCTCCGTACATTGAATTTATCGTGTAATTCTTTGGGCGCTTTAGTTTAGAGAAACTTCGTTCACGCGCGACTTGAGCGATTGGAAAAAACGGACGTACTTTGCACGATGGGCGGGCCACTGTTGTAGGTGAGAAGTTAAGAAGGTAAATAGGTATATAAAGGGGAAATTTAATGTATATGTGTACGCTACGATTAATCGTTGCTAACGAAAACGGTTATACGAGTTTTAGAAAGACCGTGATATTTACGATTTTCGTTGAAATTTGATAGAGTTTTTTATCTTTTTTTTTTTTAAGAGAACAAATTAGCTTTCTTTCCATCACGGAAAACAACCGTTGGAGATTTTAAACATTTTTTAACAGTGCAGAAATTGTATTATTATAAACACAAAATCATATTACTATAATTTGTTTGTACATAATATTATTATTTTGTTATACCGGTTAGGTTTAATACCTCGTATATCCGCCGGAAAATAATTTAACGGCGCGTTTAGTTACCTACCAACTATTGATGTTAAGTGGTTTTTTTTATAATCCGGTTAATATCGCCCCGCTGTTCCTCGAGAACAATATTCTATTTTAATAAAAAAATAACGAATAATTTTCGTATATTTTATAATATTTTATACGGCTTTACACGCAGTCTCAACGTTTGACATAATACTACAACGATAAACAGAATAATTATAATATCGTATTAATTGTTAATTTGTCCGCGTAACCCCTTTTTTTTTTTGTTATTGTTGTTTGTTGTCACTGTCGTTTAAAGCGTTTAAACTTTTAAGCCAACTACTTCCAAAAAAAAAAAAAAAGAAAAAAAATCATTTTTATATTATATCCGCTACACCCAGTACAAATAGCGGATCCCCCTTGTTCGCCCGTCAATTCACGACTCTTGGCTCGATCTTCATCAAAAACGCGTGTCTCGTATGCATTTTCGAAATCGCCCGCTCCTCCGTTAATTTTTCCGTATCAGTCCTTGCCGCTGCGTGTTTTAAACGTAAAATTTGCGTTCGATATTTTCGATTTTACATATTTTATATAACTACGACGAAGGCGTTTCTTTTGTGTCAACGCGAATAGATTTTTTTTTTTTTTTTTTTATGCGTCTCTCACACAACCGTAATCGTTATTTAAATGTCCTAACGCTTCGGTAAGATAACGAATATAATATAGAGACTGCGTTATTAAAATAATATAATGATATTTTTGTCGCGTGTCATTCAAACCGACGACCCCGTCAGGTCACGGGCTGTGTATAATGTTTTCTTTTTCGTTTTTTTTTTTTTTTTACTTCTGTTCATTTCGAATTTTCGAAACCTTTTCTTCGCCGCGCATAGAACTCAGTAGTAGTGATTCATTTATTATAGTTATTGTTATTATTTATTTATTTTTTTTTTTTTATATCAACGACATTTCCAAACCGAACAAAAACCGTATTACGTTGTAGGTGAATTATGTTATTTAAAATTGATTATTTCACGTACCCTTCAGGTGGCTATAACGTTATATACTATACAGGCGGTATAATATAATGACAATAATAAAAAAAAAAAAAAAAATCATTTTATATAACAAAATAATCTTTTGAGTATTTATGCGCGGAATCG